TCTTTTATACCTAATAGATCAGCGCTGGCTGATGCGGTCAGGGCCCGCTCTACCCTTTCGGCCATCCTGGGCAAAAATAAGAATTTCCGCCCCAGAAATGGATTTGAAAGTGAAGGGAAAGGGGGTTATTCAGTAGCGGCCCGCGATTTTTATTTGTAAATTTTTTCGCAAGGAGGGGGGGAGAAAAAGCTCGCCGCAGGCGCCGCCGGAGGAAAAAAATGTTTTCGAGTGCCACGCCCAAAAACGTTTATTTTAAGCCTTTAAAAAAACAACATCTGAAAATAAGAAGGTTTTTTAGCTAGGAATTTTCGCGTATTCAGCGTAACAAAAACGGCGCCGCGCCGCCCACCGATCTTAAAAGCTTTCCATAAGTTCACAATAAATATTTCTTGTTCACAAAGAAAATGTTGAATGCCTACTATGCAAAAATACAAAATATTATAGTACTGGATCCTAAGAGCAGCGGCGGCCTTAGGTCTGTTCGCACAGAAATCACTAACCAGTAAGAGTGAATTTCATTGGTTGAAAGTTGAAACAAGTTTTCTGAATGTTTCTGACTTTTCAACCAATGAAATTCGCTCTAACTGGTTTGTGATTTGATTTCTATGCGAATTTAACAGACTTTTTATTTATTTATTTATTTATTTATTTATTTATTTACTTGTTTTGTTTTATCGATATAAATGCCGCCCAAAATTTTGCCGCTCCGGGCAAATGCCCGGGTTACCCCCCCTTAAAGCGGGCCCTGGATGCGGTAGTACTAAGGTACATGAAGCCATGTCATTACCTTATTTTTCACAGAAATGTTTCAAAGTATCATATGAAGGATAGAAAATCTATTTTTTTTCAGAAAGATGAGGTATTGCCATGGTCCGTGGCACCGTGGCACTACCTCACCAGCCGCTTCAACAGATACTGCAAACTATAGGGATCGTTGGTTTTGACATTCGCCATTGCAGTTAGTACATGCGGGTGTACAAGGTAGACCTGCTTTCTGACACGAACATCTGTTGGTCTCACTTTGACTTTTACATCCACACTTCTCTAGTACTCTAAGAGCTCACCAAATTTGTGCTAGCTGGCTCCCAGCGGTTGTTGGTTAAATTCAAACCCCATCCTCCAGGTGGTGGAACCGATTCACCGGGTGACAGCGATCGACCCCATATTTGACCGGCTTGATACGCAGCTCTTCGGTAGTCTTCCATTAGACTGTATTGTGACGGTGGATACATGGATATTGGTCGTTCTCCACTACGAAACTGCACCTTTCTCAATTTATTAACTTTTTCAACAGATCAGTGGTGGCTGGTGCGGTAGGGGTAAGGTACATGAAGCAATGTCATTACCTTATTTTTCATAGAAATGTTCCAAAGTATCGTATGAAGGTTAGGTTATAAAACCTATTTTTCGGGTTTTAACATTCGCCCTTGCAGTTAGTATATGCGGCCGAACCATAGCTTTCCTATACGAACATCTGTTAGGTTAGTTTCACATTGACCTTTACAGCCACACACTTCTCTAATCCTCTTAAAGCTCACCAAATTTGTGCTATGTATATCTGTGGTACTATATATTAAAGATAAACAATGGAAAGCCAGGGTTGCCTTCAGATAATCTTCCCATGCTTTCCATGCTGTTTTTTCCTTTCAATGCAAAAAAAAAAGAAGTAATGTCGCACCCCGTAAAAGCGACGCAGTGCTTATGATTTTTCCCAAATGATTTGCAACGTTATGAGCTACCTATATGATATCTTTGTAATTTGCTAACCCCATATAGATACCATAATTCCTCAAGGCCTGAGGAGTTCAATATATAAAAAAATTATATTCCTATTATTGCAGCTGTGTCCGAGAATCGTACTGAAACGGATTTAGCTCCATTTTGGGCCAAATGTTCAACATAATGTCAAAACCAGTCTGGATGGACTATCTTGTACCGACATGGAGGAAGCAGATGGAAGAATGTTTCTACATGTTAAGTCCTTGACCCTTGAGGAATTATGGTAGCTTGTATATGGGGTTAACAAATCACAAAGATATATTGCAGCTCATAACATTGCAAAACATTTATTGGGACCTGAAAAATCTTTAGCATTGCGTGGCTTTTATGCTTTCAGGGGGTGCGAAACTACTTCCTTTTTTGCATTCAAAAGAAAAAACAGAGAATGGAAAGCACATGGAAAGATTAACAAGAGGCAACCCTGCCCATCCATCATTTATCTCTAATGGATAGTAGCACAGATATAGCACAAAAAATATTCAAAATTTTAGAGAAATTCACTATACCAGTATATGATGCAAAAAGCAAACTTGAAAAAGTTAATAAATTGAGAAAGGTGCAGTTTCGTAGTGCAGAACGACCAATAGTGTTCACCGTCACAAGACAGTTTAATGGAAGACTACAGAAGAGCTGCGTATCGAACCAGTCAAATGTGGGGTCGGGGTCGATCGCTGTCACCTGGTGAACCTCTATTCCATCTCCTGGAGGATGGGGTTGGAATTCAACCAACAACTGCTGGGAGCCAGCTAGCACAAATTTGGTGAGTTCTAAAAGACTAGAGAAGTGCGGATGTGAAAGTCAAAGTGAAACCAACAGATGTTCGTATCAGAAAGTAGGTCTACCTTGTACTAACTGCGATGGCGAATGTCAAAACCAACGATCCCTATAGTTTGCAGTATCTGTTAAAGCAGCGTCTGGTGAGGTAGTGCCATGGTGCCACAGAACCATGGCAATACCTTATTTTTCTGAAAAAAAAAGATTCTGTAACCCTCATATATGATACTTTGAAACATTTCTGTGAAAAACAAAGTAATGCCATGGCTTCATGTACCTTAATTAGTACTACCGCTTCGGCCAGCGCTGATCTATTATAGAAGAAACTTTTTGTCTTTGATAAGACATTTTAATTTTGTTATGCTAAACAATCATTTTTTATTTTTAACCCCCCTCTATTGGCGGTTTCAAACATGTTATATTAAAATTATTTTAAAATCGAATTTAATTGTAATTTTCAAGGTTACTGAAGGTCATATCGTTTTGAAATAGTATATTGTGCAACAAGTGTTGAAAATAGAAAATAGCACTTTTCACACGAGTGTGAAAAGTGCGTTTCACACGCGTTACACACTATACTTTTTCTACAACTGCGAAATAACTATAAACTATAACTATATTCCCACTGGGATTTATTTATTTATTTTTTTGTTGAAAAATTATTCTTCGAAATTATAATCGACGAACAATATTGGTACGTACGCTGAATGCACCCAGAGTTGCTTGTAGAACAAAAATTCAATGGAAGTATCATTTTTATTTTAGCGTGCGGAAAGTACTTTTCGCACGCTCGGGAGCGTGTGAAATAGCTATTTACCTAACAAGTGCGGAAAATAATTTTTCCGCACGCGGCTGCCGTTCACGGCGTAGCACGGCTGTAGGAAAAGTACTTTTCGCACGGTCGAAGCGTGTGAAAAGTACTTTTCGCACCCTGTGCGAAATAATCGATTTTCTAGGTAGGTTAGTGCGTTTTTAGCAGCTTTCTAGGCAGTCGTAGGAAAATATATTTTTTTTAATTCCTTGACCTCAAATTATATAATAAAATGTATAATCATGCCCAAGTGCATTAATTTTGAAATTGAGGAAATTCCCGTCAGCCATTTTGAAAAAAATGCGAGATTGGGAGTCTTGAGGGTTGTAGAGCCTGGCTAGTCGGGTCAGATCTCTTAAAATGAGCTTCCTGACAACTATGCCAAATTTCATGCTTGTAACCCAATTTGGCGTTTTTTTTTGTGTAGGCTCACCACTAATATCAAAAAATGGGCAAAATCCATGGATCCCTAAAATCCTACTCATAATAGCGAAATTCGAAAATTTGACGTTTTATGCGTGAACCAAACGTCAAATTATCGAAGCAATGTCAAAAAATAACGAATTTCGCGGTTATGAGTACTAGGCTTAGCACAGTCTGGGGTGCGATTTTCGAAACAATTCGAGTACATTTCGTACACGAAATTTGTAATGTAAATTAAATGGGAAGCAGTCAAATTTCGTGTACGAAATGTACTCGAATGGTTTCGAAAATCGCACCCCTGAATCGCACGCAATCCATCAACGTCTGCGAGTGACGTCACTATCAGCTACTGATAGTGGTGACGTTACTCGCAGACCTGCCGATTCGAGAATTGATGAACTTACGCCTCATTAGGATCAGCGATTCTGTTAGTTTACCGATTCTTGATCCAAACTAATCCGTTTTCTTTCTCTAAAAAAAAATAAAAACCCAAAAAAAAAATTTATTAATGACTGATGAGAATCGAGCTATTTTAGTTTTTAGAGCATCCTCTTTTTACTATTTTCTTATTATCCGAAAGCAAATAAACTTGCCCCCTCCTAGCTCTGAAAACAATACCTGAACCGAACCACTAGAGTTAGGAGTTAAAAGTGAAGGCAAGAGTCAAAAAGAGTACAATCCTAAACTGAGCCAAACCTTCCAGCGCTGCTCTACCAGACCGGTGCGAATCATCACTAAATAGAATTCTATTTGAGCGAATATTGGGATCCCAAGGGTCTGTGCAGGAGTAAGGGGCAGGGTTGGGATCGTTATAAAGTGAGAATGCATTCTCCGTTCTCCGTGTTTAGATAAATTGATGTCAGATTCAGAACTCCCGATTCGCTAGCAGATCTAGCCGGTACTTCACGCGCTTATTCCTTTCGAAAAGTTTTTGTTGCACCACGCATATGTTCCCTGCAAATCGGGGGCGACTAAGCACCGAAGCGAGTAGCTCGAGTGTTTCAAGCTCTTGAAAGGAATACAACTATTGAAATGGTCCAACCCTTTTCACGTGGCTCCGGTTTAACAAACTGCAACATACCGCTCAAATTCGAGTGGTAGGTATCACGTCACTTGTAACCGGGTTAGAAAACTGTATGTCATTTCTCTAACCGTTTTGTAACCCGGTTAGTTAAACCGGAGCCACGTGAAAAGAACTATAGTAACGGTCAACGTCAAACATAACCTCATTCAAATTTGTATTTGTAATATTTGTATTTTATTTTAACGATCATCGATCAATCTTGTACTTTCCACAAGAGGAAATTCTTTCGATAGTGAAATTTCAATACAAATTAATGTTATGAATGATTGGTTGTTTAAAAAGTAATAAGAAGTGTTAAAAATGTAATAACTGGTAAGCCGTGATTTGCTAGTATTCATTTTGAAAACCGGTATAATAGGTTGTCCCGCCGGCGCCAAAATTATTTCACCATCTTCCATTGCAGTTTCTGCTGTTGTTTTTTTTAAGTGTTTTTTTCTGATTCCATTCAAATTCCTTATAATCCCTACCTACATAGAGAACCCTACCTATTTAATCTGACAGCTTGTAACATATAAATTACAAAAGCACTACAATACAAACAATATTTTTTCAACAGGAATTGAGACAGGCAGGCCCTCCTTCTGTTTAACATTTAACCAAGGTTACAAAGCTAATTGGCAGAGGAGAGGTAAGTTCTTCTATATTTTAGTAGTTTAGTTAGTCAGCTATAAGTAAAGTCGAGGGATTTTTCACCTTGTTAATCAGTGTACAAATTAGGGGCTCGGAATAGTCGAATATTCGAATACCTATTCGAATAGTCGAATATTCGAATAATCAAATATTCAAATAGTCGAATATTCGAATAGTCGAATATTTGGATAGTCAAATATTCGAATATGTAGTCAAAAAGTCGAATATTCCAATAGTCAAATATTCCGATAATCATTTATATTAGTTTGTAGATTGTAGATTTCGGGAGAGTCATTTCGGCTTTTCAGCCGCTCAGCACTGCTACCTTTGCAGATATTTTGTGCGTGACTCTACATCTTAATTTGTCTCCAGGAAGCATAGACTTCTGCCGAAGTAAGCTATTTTCCTGGGTGTCAGTTGGCCCACTTCTTCTGGTGACAGTGTTGCCCCCTCGAGGAATTTGAATTTATATTAGTTAGTTTGTACTTTGTTGTACTGTTAGTACTAGTTCCTACTTCCCGCGAAAGAACGTTTTACAATGAAGCGAATTTTTGATTTTTTTTGCAGAGTATTGCAGAGTCACAAAAACTAAAATAATTTAGATGTTTTTTAAATGGCAAATATACAGAGGGTTTAATTTGACTTTGACTTACATTATGAACAAAAATGCATTGTATTTATTGAAAGCTGATTTTTACCGAAAACACGTCAAATATTTTTTTATAGTTTGGAGGGAGCAGTAGACCCTGCAACCCTGCCACATGTATTATCTAGAAATCTAGAGCATTTACATAAGAATAACTATTTCAATTAATAATAAAATTGATGTCTATTAATGCACACATGTTTAAGAATGCTCCGAATAAAGTCGTTAAAATAGTGGTAAAAAGTTTGAATAAAATCGTGATTTTCGGTAGACTTAGAAAATGGAAAATGCTTTTTCTAGCGATGAAATTAATTTTATCAAGTGTGGTGTAATTTGTGGTGAAAGTAGATAATAGTTCAACACAATAAAAAGGTGATGAATAAATAGACAAAAAACCCAGGATCGTAAACTGATAAAGATCGGCAAATCGGACTTGTACCTTTTTTGGTGCTGATAAAAAACTTGTTTATTGAGTGCTAAAAATATGCAGTTTAAAGGATATTGAAATGCCGTCAAATAACCCAGAGACGGACTCTGATGATGGGGAATATTATGAAGAGGATTGTCCAAGCTGTAAAAAGCCTGTAAGTGATTCTTCTTATATATGTGACATCTGGCTATCTAAAGTTCACAAGAAATGTGCTAGCTTATCACCATCTGAAGTAAAATGCATGCCATTGCAGAATAGGCGCTTAGCTCTGATATGCTGCTCTTGTAAGAAGGATTTAAGCAAATCCAAAGAGCTTCATGAATTGGTTTCGCTACTGAGAAACGAAATACTTGAGCTAAAAACTGAAACAAATAGCTTAAAAGGCACAAAAAATACAAATTACACAACACTATGCACCGCACAAAGAACCTACGCAGATGCAACATCCAGTAGGAAGAACAATAGAGAAGAATTTACTCAAAACATACCCAGTGTTATCATAAAACCAAGAAAACAACAAAACAGAAAACAGTGAAACAACTAGAGAGGATGTGAAAACACGTATTAACCCATCTAAACTTCACATTAGTGTTAAAAAAATGCAAACAAGCAGAAATGGAAGCATACTGATAAAATGTAATGATGTTACTGATACACAAAAGTTTTAAAAATATGCAGAGGAAACACTTAAAGACAACTATGAAATAGAAGAAACCAAATTAAAAAATCCGCAAGTGAAAATTGTAGGGTTTAAGGAAGACATGGCCATGGATGAAATTGAACAATCAATTAAAAATCAAAACAGTTTTTATTGTAATGAACTACTTAAAATAACATACATAAGGAAAAACAAAAATAATACAAAAACAGTATATGCTGAATGTGATGCAGTTATGTTCGCCAAACTCATGTCACTAGGAAAAGTTAACATTGGATGGGAGCGTTATCAAGTTTATGAAAACATAAATCCTCCTCAGTGTTATAATTGTTGGGGATTTTATCATAAAAACACCAACTGTGAGAACAAATCAATTTGTTCTTACTGTGGAATGGAGCACCCACGTCGAGAGTGTCAACTAGTCCAAACTCAGCAAGGAAAGAAATGCAAAAACTGCGAAGTGGCAAATTTGAGATACAAAACTGAATATGACTTGAGTCATGAGGCTAGCGACACTGATTGCCCCACCTATAAATATCACATTCAAGTTATGCGAAACAAAATAAACTATGGCAACCTTTACAATGCCATGTCTAGTCAAATGGAACTTTTGAACGAGATAATTCCTGATATTTCTGGTGAGACTGTCAGTGCTGTGGGCCTATGTGACAAAATTGAAATTAATAAAAAAATTCTCAACATTTTCCATATTAACATACGTAGTGTAAGAGAAAACTTTGTTGGTGTCAAATGTTAAAATGGTAAAATCGGTTTTCCTCTAAAATTAACTGTTCAGGTTTTACAGCCTGTCAAAGTTGCAAAAAGTCAATTTTCAACTGTCAATATTTCCAAAACAGTTGAACTTAGGTATAGGGTATATCACATGAAATCTGCTCAGAATTTTACGTAGAATCCGAATATGTAATCACATGCAGGGTGTTCCATTTAAAATAGCGATGTTGCTACTAGTTTAGAGTAGAAGCGGCAACACCACATGGTCAAAAATATTTTTAAAGTTTAGATCATGGTCATTTATCCCGGTTGCCAAATTTTCATAATGATCCGCTTTTTAGTTCTCCATAAACGCTCGCCTGACGGCTCGTGATTTTGTCAAAAATGTCACTCGCGAAATTGCCAAGCAACAAACTTTCATACCTTTCGAAAATTTTGCCGACAAAATTTTTTCTCTTGTGATATTATATATGACTATTTCACTAGAGTGTTTTATTTACGACTGACATATAATGTAAGTATTATATTTGTGATTTTGGCAGTTTAATGACATCTATTATTCCCGCAGGGATTAATGGTCATTAATCCCGCTTGCACACCAATCACAAAATTTTTCAAATTAAATAAGTAGGTAGTACCATGGAAACAGTATAGAACAAATTCAGTGTCAGTGTCAAACACGTAGTGTTTGTGTATTTGTATTGAGATGGATGAACAAAGAGCGTTTTTGGAAAGAAAATTTCAAATAAATTAATTTGTCATAAATAAAGTAGAGTATACTACTTGCAATAATGGCTATTATTCCCTCGGAATGTTACTCCTTCGCCGCTAACGCGGCTCAGTTCGTAAATATACCTCGGGAATAATAGCTATCATTATTGACTCGTGGTATAATCTACTATTACACTGGCAAAATGTCATAGGAGCAGCCGGTTTCCTACTGACAAAACTCCTACCTGGACAAAACCAACATGATGGTTTTTCAGCGACAAAATTTTGTGTGGTTAATGTAAAAAACTATTGAGTTTGACAAGTGTCACCTAAAGAAAATAAAATTTCCAGTAGTAATATAACTAGTGCATAAAATATTTCCGGAAATTTTTGATAATTTTGTCTGAAGCCAATTTTTTAACAAAATCATGAGTGGATAGCGCCTGAAAAAATCCCGAACCCGAAGGGTGAGGGGTTTTTTCTTTGGCGCTATGCACGAATGGTTTTGTTTAAAAAAATTGACTTAAGACGAAATTTTAAAAAATTTCGTTCAGGAAATATTTTATGCACGTGTTATATTTTGATAGGAAATTTCCCGAGTTTGAAGTTTATTTACTATAAGTTGTTTCGAATATTTTAAATATGATGATATGTTCTGTGATGGTGATTTTTATTGATCTTCCCTATTTAAATTGCGTTTGTCAAAAAATATACACTTTGACAGATTTCTGACATCAATGCGTTTTAAATGGAAAAGCTGGTCTCAATGCCAAAAATGACAACTTAAAGGTGGGTTTCCGACGGACGCCGCGCGGCATTGTCGCATTGGAAATTGCACCCGGAAATATCCCGCTCGCCAGGGATATTTCGACTTATCAATTTTTGAAAATTACGAGGTAAATTTCCAGTTAAATATGCACAAGGGAAATTTCCAGTAGAAATATAACTAGTGCATAAAATATTTCCGGAAATTTTTGAAAATTTTGTCTGAAGCCAATTTTTTGACAAAATCATGAGTGCATAGCGCCTGAAAAAATCCCGAACCCGAAGGGTGAGGGATTTTTTCTTTGGCGCTATGCACGAATGGTTTTGTTTAAAAAAATTGACTAAAGACCAAATTTTTAAAAATTTCCCTTAGGAAATATTTTATGCACGTGTTATATTTTGATAGGAAATTTCCCGAGTTTGAAGTTTATTTATTATAAGTTGTGGCGAATATTTTAATTATGATGATGTGTTCTGTGATGGTGATTGTTATTGATATTTCCCATTTAAATTGCGTTTGTCAAAAAATATACACTTTGTCAGATTTCTGACATCAATGCATTTTAAATGGAAAAGCTGGTCTCAATGCCAAAAATGACAACCTAAAGGTGGGTTTCCGACAGACGCCGCGCGGCATTGTCGCATTGGAAATTGCACCCGGAAATATCCCTCTCACCAGGGATATTTCCACTTGTCAATTTTTGAAAATTTCGAGGTAAATTTCCAGTTAAATATGCACAAGGGAAATTTCCAAGTGAAAATTTGGCTTGTTTTTCTCGTGTAATAAATAGTCCAGCTGAATACCACTCAACAAAAAATTATGTAGGCAAAATTATTCTCTTTAAGTTTGTTGCTTTTTGGTAATTTCGCTCATGAAATTTTTGACAAAACCACTCGCCTAAGGGCCCATCCTCAATCAATCTGGTAGCGAAGTGGCACTTCGGCACGTATGCTAGGACAATGTTGTTTAACGTTGGCATCCTCAATTCAATTTCGTGCCAGCATGCACGCTGACTCCGAAGTGCAAGCTTGCAAGCTGCGAGCTTTTTCGATGCG